GAGAAAAATTGTGATAGGGCCAGTCCGTTTCTGGACACCTGATAATAGCAAAAAGTTGATTTTAGCATCAAATCGTAGAGCTCCATGTGTAATACAACGTACGAAAATTTTATTAAAATATACAGGGTGGTTTCAAAGTTATAACCCTAAACGTTAATTTCTAGGTACCCCTTTGACCCCCCATAACTCCGTTAGGGGGCACATTAGGAAAAAAAATTATAGGAAGGACTAGTTTTATTTTGTGCTCCCCTATACACTCCCGAGAGATTAGGAGGTACTTACCGGACACCCTGTATACGAACCGCACCATGACTTTCAGCGCATCGTATGGAGAAACAACCCCAAAGAAGAAATATCACACTACCGGCTTAATACTATAACACATGGTACATCCAGCGCATCATTTCTGGCAACGCCCACATTACACCAAATAGGGCTAAATTGTCAAAAGGACTATCCAAATGCAAGTATAGTCATAAAAAATGATTTTTAAATGGATGATTTAATTACCGGTTTATGTACGTTATCAGAAGGAATACAGTTAAAAACACAAGTAGAATCTATTTTATCGAAGCCAGGATTTACACTTAGAAAGTGAATGTCTACACACAAACACACGCACACACACAGCCACACACGCACACACACAGCCACACACGCACACGCGCGCGCACACACACACTGTTAGGAATTTAGATTAGGTTACGTTAGTAGTTTTTGTTAGAAAAATAAGAAAAAACCGAGTAGGTATGTAAAAATGATCATGTCATGTCAAAGTAAAGAAAACGTCATTGGAAATAAAGTATTGTTCTTATCACCGTGTTACCTCTTTATGCAAATAGAAAAGGAGACCGTCGAAGGCAGTTAACGACGGGTAGTTGTTTGGTGTCTCAATATAGTTTACGGTCGCCATAAACTATGTCGAGACACCATTTCAGACCGAGTACAGGAGCAAACGCTTCTTTCTCGTGTTCTTTTCGAGAGTGCTCCCACCCTCTGAGTTCAACTTTACCCTGTTTCATTATCATTGTAGCTTCTTGAATGAACTGCATCAAACTGGTCTCATCCGGAACACTGGTGATACAATTATCCACATAAAAACTTTTTGACAATTTAACTACAGAGTCTACTGTATAGGGAGTATCAGTTTTTGTACACATTTCCAGACAACGGTCAAAATGATATTCAATAGTTTTTCCCAACAAAAAAGGGCTACAGTTAACTCCAAACACAACTCGTCTGTGTCGATAAGTTTTTTCTTTTCCGTCTGGCCCTACCCTTAAAAATCTGAGAAAATCTCTATCGCTGGGATGGATACTGATTTGAAGAAAGGCTTTCTTGATATCTGAAGTGACACCTATTTGATTTTCTCTGAATCTCAACAGTGTCGAAGGAATTTCTTCAATTAGATTTGGGCCCTTCTCTAGACAATCATTGATCGAAGGTGTTCCCTTTTCATGAGCAGACGCATCAAAAACAGGACGTATCTTGGTAGTACTTTCAGGTTTTACCACAGCCCTATGAGGCAAATAATGAACTGGTAAAACTCCTACATTATCTGCAAGCTCCTTTATGACCCATCGAGAGCCATTCTTGTAGAACCTGATCATACTTTTCCGTCATGTTTTCGTTCTCTAGTTTTCTAATAGTGGACTATAATCTCCTTTTTGCGAGGTTTTAATTATCTGGGAGTGGAGGGTGTCCGGCGATCCATGGCAGCCTGACTTCATACCTCCCCTGATTTATCTTCACAGTACGCAAAAAGAAATCCTTAGCATCATCGGCTAGCTCCTCCTTGGTTTTCCTTTCTGAAGGTTCGGTAATACCCAAAACATCAAGCCGCCATAATTCGGTGATGGATGCTTCTTTTATCAACAGGGGCAAGGTTGTTAATGCCAGGTTGGAATCTTCGATGTTCTCCGCAGTAGAAATTTTACCGATGAGAGTCCACCCCAGGCATGTCTTGGTAGCAACTAGTCCACATTTCAATTCTCTATAGTCACCACCATAGATTTTACTAGCCACATCTGCTCCAAGTAACAGTTCGATTGGTCCAGGTTCATTTACATCAGAAAGTTCAATATTCAAACTGCGAACTTCTTCCATCCAAGTACCATCGAAAACTGGTAAAATATCTGTACAAATAGCAGGCTGGTCAAGAACTTCAAATGTCAAAGAATAGCTATCCTTGCAAACAGTAACATCATAGCGATTGTGAATTTGTGTTATGGTTTTTCCGCCAAATAGACAATGGGCAATACTTTCTGTTCGTTTAGGTCTATATCCTAACTTCATGGCTGTAGATTTTAGAATATAGGACCTCTGGGACCCACTGTCGATTAAAACGCGTGAAACGCAAGACCTTTCTCTGACCCCTTTCAACTTTACCCTTAGAGTCTGTAAAAACACGTGATATCTAGTACAATTGGCAAGAGTCTGTTCCGTAACAGGATTTACATTGACCTCAACGGCTTTATTTGAAGGTAATTGTGGACACATAATTGGTACATGTGATCGCGAACAAATCACGCAGCATAGGCGCACGCGACACTTTTTTGCCATGTGACCTGACATAAGACACCGAAAACACGCTCGTTTATCTGTTAACTGTTTTTTCCGATCTTCTAAACTGATTTTACGCGCCTTCACGCAGTCCTGACTCTTATGCAGATTATTACAAAAAACGCATTTATTCGAGTCGCAGTTTACTAAATCTGTAGCCGAAGGTAACGCAACCCCAACTCTATCCATTTTTCTCTCGACCCTAGGCTTGGCACCGCCATGACCCGGTGATTGTCCTGCAGATAACCCAAAATTTTCTGAGACCAATGTAATTCTTTGTTCATTTTCGACTTCATTTTTTAAAAATTGCATTAGGTTTTCAAGTCGATTCTCTAAAGAAACTTCAACAAGAGACAATTGCCGGGGCAAATTCGTCGTGCTGCCAACCATTTGAACAGCTTGTGCAGTACGTTGCCAAACACGTAATAACTCTTGCGGCAAGCAAGACTCAATAAAGGGAAAAAGTAATGCGGAACATTTTTCTGAAGTTATGCCTAACGTTTCGAGTGACCTGATTTGTGTTTCGATTCTATCGTACAATGTACACAAATCCATCTTATCTTTCGAAACTGCATTATTTAAAATTAAGGTGAGAAGTTCCCTTACATAAAACTCAATTTGAAGATCTTCTCTCCCGAATCGTGATTGCATGCATTTTATGATTTTACTGTAATTTGCTCCAATCACAGGAAAATTTTCGACAAGCTGTCTAGCTCTAGAATTTGGTACAGTTGCTTGTAACAAATATTCAATTTTATCATGATTGTCAATTTCTGGGTCCTCGTGTACTTTTTTAAATTGTGCCCAAAAAGACAGCCAGTCTCTGATGTTGCCGTCATAGCGCTTAAATTCTATTTCAAGAAGTTTGAATTTTCGCTTTCTTAAATTTCCATTATCCATGACGGGCCCTGACATTATCGTGACGTGATCATGATCACCTTTTGCCTTGCTTCCCTGACATTTTTCCAATGTCATTCTTAAATCAGCATATCGCCTTTTATATGTGTCACAAGCTCCTACCTCATTCAGCAGTTCCTCTTCGGTAGCATCGTCTAACAGTAATTCATACAAATGGGCATCCAGCTCCTTCAAATCGTCGCAATTCTCGCGCAAAAGCTCCCATGTAACTTTAGCCTTTTGCAAATCTACAGTCTGCGCCGATAAAAGTTGTTCCAGTTCGTTTCCCAAACGTGTGAAAGCACCGCGAACTACAGCTCTACTCTTCTTTTTCCTATCCAATTCTGCCATGACTCACTGGAGGAATATCAACGTTTTCAATACACGAAACCCAAGGGGATAAACGTTGTATCGAGCTAAGTCTTTTGCGGTCGTATTTCTTACGAATATCTCGTCCTTTTTTATTAACCTCACTTATCACAAACAGAGTCCTGTCACGGTCGCCATAAACTATATCGAGACACCAAACAACTACCCGTCGTTAACTGCCTTCGACGGTCTCCTTTTCTATTTGCATAAAGAGGTAACACGGTGATAAGAACAATACTTTATTTCCAATGACGTTTTCTTTACTTTGACATGACATGATCATTTTTACATACCTACTCGGTTTTTTCTTATTTTTCTAACAAAAACTACTAACGTAACCTAATCTAAATTCCTAACACACACCCACCCACGCACGCACGCACGTACGCACGCACGCACACACACACACACACACACACACACCACAGATCCTTATAGTTTCCGAGAAAAAAAATATTAAAGTTGTAGTGCTTTCAATATTTAATAATATAATTTCATAGCTAGACAACTATAGTCTCTAGCGTTTCTCGTAATACGCATGGAGAGCCACGCGGCCTCAGCGACTGAGAACACTGAAATCCGACGTTTACAATAGGTTTTTAGTAGTTAGTGTCAAAAATGACTTGCTTGTATAACAACTTGGAGTTGGTGGATATCGTTTTAGTTTATGGTGAAGCAAGAGAATATTTTTATTATGGTGAAGCATTTGTGTTAGTTCATAGAAACTGAGTAAGACGGACCCAAATGTGTTTACACGTCGGTGGACAAAATTTTGAACAGTTGTTGTAACATCAGGTATGTCAAATTATTTTATTATTTAGAACCAATTTGAACAAAATCAGTTGAGTTTGCTGATATAAAATAGGTGCTATAAAATTCTATTTATCCTTTCCTTGCGAAATTCTTTCAAGTTTTTGCTCGTTTTTATCACTGTCGCCGTGACGGTCGCATTGCTCCAGGTCAGGTTTTACAGTGGACCAGTTTCCAGTGCAGTGCAGAAATGTATTTTTAAATAATTTTCGAATTGCCCTTTTTGATTTTTTCTTTCCAAAATTGTATTTGTAAGAGTCCCCTGTACATCCAGAATTTTTTTTTTTTTTATAAGTTCTGAATCACCCTGTATTTTATTGGTCCATTCGTCCATCGTATTATCATGTTTATCAGGAGTCAGCAGATCTGCAAGGTAAATAAATAGATGGTATCATGAAAAATCTAATAATAATCCCGCACATATAATTTCTCGTAGCATAAAACCAAATTAAATTAAACATTTAAAAATAAGGTGGTATGGCCCAGAAAACCTATCGCATGTGGTTTAAATCAATGCTTATTTCAAATTATTCAAGGAATAATTCAGATACATTTGAATTAAAAATAAATCATAGTAAGAACTTATTGGTTTGTATGGTTGATTATGATTTATTTAAAAAATTGTCAAGATTAAACAAATTAACACATTTTGCATATCGTTTGCGTTATATAAAAAACTGTATGTCAAATCATGATGCTCGTATAATAGGTTTTTTGAATCATGAGGAAATATCAAACAGTACTTTGTCACTTATAAAAATAGTTCAATCCCAGCGATTTCATGAAAATATTGAGCATATTAAAAGATTCAGAGTTAAAAGGAGTAGTAAATTCAATTCATTAAGTCCATTCCTTGATAACATTATTCGAGTTGGGAGAAGACTTAAGCATTCAGAATCATATGGTCAAAAACATCAAATATTATTGCCCAGTAAGCATCCATATACTCGTCTAATTATTCCATATTAGCACGAAAATACACTACATGAAGGTATTCAAATGACTAGCCAATTTTCGACAATAATATTGGCTAATAAATGGTAAAACTGAAGTAAAATCACTGATACGCAATTTTGTTCCAGGTTTTAAGGCTAAACCATTAACTATCGCTCAAAAAATAGGTGATTTATCTGATAAACGTGTTACACATTCACGACCATTTTCAAATTGTGGCATTGACTATGTGGGACCAGTATATATAAAAGATGGAAAAACCCGAAATCGAAAATCATAAAGGCATAGATTTGCATTTTTATATACTTGGCGACAGAAGCACAGAAATGTTTTTAAATGTTCTCAAGCGATTCCTTTCACAGCGCGGATTATGTAATCGTGTATTTTCAGATATTGCAACAAACTTTATAGGTGCCAACAACATGTTGTTAGAGATCAATAAATTATTGGAAAACCATGAATTTCAAAATTATTTGCTTGAACAAAAAATACAATGGCGTGTCATACCTGCACGGTCACCAAATTTCGGTGGTTTGTGAGAAACCGCCGTAAAAAATATTAAATATCACTTACAGCGAGTACTTAATAATATTTTATAATTTAAAGAATATTTTTAACAAATATCGAAGCTATTTTGAATTCGACCATTATGCCCTTTATCCGATGATTCAAAGGACCTGGAAGCGTTAACACTAGATCATTTTATCATTGAAAAGCTACTAACTTGCAATTCCAGAACCCAATAAGGAAAATTCCATTCCACCACATACGTCAAATGGCCCAACATTTTTGGACTAAGTGGAAAATCGAATATTTACATCAACTTCACCAGAGAACCAAATAGAAGTTTGACATAGATCTGTCATCAATCGTGGGTTCTCTGGTGCTGGTGCTTCTAAAGCAAGACAACGCCCCCCCTCTTCATTGGCACAAGGGAAGGATCATCGCCGTTCATCCTGGAGCTGATAAGAAGGTGCGGTAGTGTCAGTGAAAACTAAGAATGGTGTAGTAAATCGTTCAATTGGGAAAGTGTGTTTATTTCCCAGTTGAAATTAATATTTTCGGTGCAGAATACCCCTCCACTTTTCTTTGAAAGGAGATCTTTCCAGGGGGGCGGTACGTTCTGTAAAATATGTAAATTGTTAATATATTATATTCGCTAAAATATGTCTCTGTATGTTATACAATTGTTAATATATCTCAAACCAGGGAGACGAATTTTTGTTTTTTAGTCGTTTATAATATGTAAATGTGTTGTACAAAAATGTTGTAATCACAATACATTTTTATCATAATCAATAAATAAGCAAGAAGCAAAATATTTGCTGTTTAATTCTGGATATTAAATCCAGTAAAAGAGAAAATTAAATCAGTGTCAGCAACACAACAATCTTATTTAAAAGAATTAAACTTTTATTCTTGTGGAATGATAGGTCTCGTGGCGAACAAAAGTAACCAAAGAGCAGTACCTAATGGCAAGTAGTTTGGGAAATTGCTTTTTAATAAACTTGTAATGAACCAGTATTATTTTCCGTTTTATGCAAGGCCGTTGGCCATATATTTATTAATTAGTTTAATTGGGGAAGAGCAATTACTCGCGAGTCGAGCCGAAACCGTCCGTTGCCCCACTCTGCTGAGTGCCGCGCGCATAATCCCACCAAGACTCCCGCTCAGTCAAGGGGGGATTGAGACAATAAAACCAACGTTCCTGGACGAAAATCCTCAGTTCGCTGCCAGAACTCGAACAACTCCAACACCAGCCTGAGGACCACCCCGAGGACCCGAAACCGACCAGAGACCGCCATCCGACCTAAGGAGTTAGCCGCCGGGAGCAACCATCCGGAATAAGTAAGCAGATTGTATTTTCCTATGTTTACCTGTCCTGCTATGGAATATGTCTGGCCGTTTTGAACTTTGGCAAGAAAGTACGACCACAGCGTTGTCGGCGAAGGTTTGGCTGGGTGTTCCACCGCCCTCGTTCGACGAACGTTGTCCGTCACGTCAACCGAACTGCTGGTTTGGCTGGGTGCTCCACCGCCAGTAGAGGACGTGAAGGTGTCAGACTGTACGGCAGCAGCGTTGTCGGCGAAAGTTTGGCTGGGTGCCTCACCGCCAGTAGAAGACGTTGTGTGTCGGCTGTGCAGCGACGGATAGACCCTCGAAGTTTGGCTGGCTGCCTCACCGTTTCTGAGAGAAATCTGTCGGCCGCCCCGCATTTGAACGCGTACCTCGTCCAGACTTTGCCTCCTGTTCACCAACATAATTCATTTTCCTGACTACCGTTTGCTTATTTATGCCCGTTGTAAACTGCTTTGCTTGGCTTTCTCCCTGGCTGGTTAAATTTTCGCTTAATTTCCGTCGCTGTGCTAGAAACCACCTCTAATATTGATTGGTAGAATTAGAGTAACCCGTAATTATTTTTCTCTGTTTCAGAGCCAATTGGGAACGACTTATTTTATTGATTATTTATTACTCTAATTTATTAACCTTATTTGTTCTTCCCTTTCTAGCACCGACCGAAATTTAAAAAACCCGAATAATTATTTTAGAGTACCGTTTCTTAAAGTATAAGATTGTTTATTAAATAAACCAAACGCCAAATACTCCGTTTTTCTACCGGACCGATTTTTGTGTTGATATTTGACTACGTGCTAATTTTGTATTTATTTACAGCACCGGAAAACCGCATAGGCATTTTAAATCCGTCGTAAATAATAATTGCTCTAACCCATTTTTGTTTTGACTACACCGCTTGTAAATTATTTGTATATTTTTGATTTTAGTTAGTTTTAATAATTGTAATTAGAATTTATTCAACTTTTGTTTGTTTCAATTTCCGTAGGCCTTATTAATATAAAATAAATCTAGTAAATATATTTCCAGTTTGTATTCATTTTTAACGCCGACAAGTTTGATAAAATTGGTTAAATTGATAAAATAAACCCCTGGAATTAAACTTTCTTCACTGTAGCTATCTCGAGTACTTACTCTAAACCGAGGGTAGGGTTCACGTGGAGTTTCCCTCACGTAAAAGATAGGGAATCTGGTGCCCGAGACAAACCGAACAAAAAGATTTAATCCGGAGTACGTTCCTGTGACGTCACTCACCACCGCCGGCTGCCAACCACCGCTGCCGATAAAATAGTAGTCAAGGGTCGTCATAAAATTAGGCGTCCAAACAGGGACGCAGTGACGTCAATAAATATGGTAAATTAGAA